AGAAAGGTACATGGGGCATGCACGCTATTCGACAATGGATATTGTTTATAGATCAATATACGTAAGTCTTAGCACGTTCATTTAATAATGAGTCCTTAGCAATTAATGAATTACACTCTGTAGGTGCATTCGTAGGGTAATCGGCTGTTTATCATAATCCACAGAGTCGACAGAAAATTGATTTCCTCTTCGGTATATGCAGTTTCCGCGCTCTGTTCAGATTTACACACTGCGTTATAAACTCCGAATCCCAATATGAGGCTCTGAATGTTTACCACTTGAATGCTTCTCGAATATTTCCTCTGCGCATGGATTAACGTAAACAATACCTGAACACGCTGCACCTGAAGATGACATTGGGGCACCGGAAATGTTTCAACGATTGCGAGAATATCTGTCGTGCAATCGTAGGCAGCAAAATCGCCAGTCGACGATCTTCCAACGTTTCTGCAGTGACCACGTTCAGAAATGTAATGCTCATTTAAACGGGCACTTTTTGCTGTCAGACAGTCTGGCAGTTTGACCACTTCTCCGTCCCTTATGTTATCTCGAAGGAAAGATATGAACTGTGAGAAGGGCGATAACTGAGACACGTTTTCACAAAGACTTGCATCTGAAAGTAATTGAAATATCAACAGCCAAACTCATTTATATCAGAATGAATGACACTTTGCGGAGTTCGCGCGTGCTGAAGGTGTTTCTTCTGTACTTCAGTAAATATTTTATGATTATCCTTAAAAAGAATCTTGAGATACACATTCAGCAGCCATCTTAAAAAACAGTTGACGAAACCTTTTAGTTTAATATGTTACATCGTTCCAATCATCGAGTTGAGCATACAGATATTACTCATCGCCTTAATTAAAAATGAGTTCTTATTTGGTTCGTTATGTTTTGTCTCGCTGAAGCGCAGCGTGTGCGCAATTAACGGACGACAAATTTAGGTTTTTTCGTATATCAAACTTTATATTTATTTCCTCTCGTAAGTTTACCAGCGTGCATATCAGGAAGGCGATAAAAATTGCGGGACGATAATTAAATCGGGAAGATAACTACAGAAGGATTTTCACACTTGCAAGAGCATGCTCGGCCCGCAAATAGGCTATAGAATAGTTACTGGCTTATATTAACCTTGGCGCAACTCTCTAATTCTGTCCCACATATGGTCCCTTCCGTGAATCGCGTCTATCCTGTCACAGTAGGAAAGTCATGAGAATGTATTGCGCTCTCAAATAGGTTTTCACGCTAAGCTAAGGGCTTACCTAGTGGCGCACATATGTATTACACTTAATATTCCGTCAAAAAATCAAGACCATCGTTTTAAAAAAAATCCCACTCATTATCTGTTTGTAAGTAAAAAATACACTGATTTGTATAAGCTTTTTTAGAGACTGCGGAATAGCTTGATTGTGGTTTACGGCTCCTTTAACTTTTTTACTATATTGACGAGGTAGCAGGTAAATGTTATATGAACTTGAGTCATTTTCAAGATTGTTTTAAACAAACATACCCTTGAGTTCTTGAGCAGGCTTGTTTGGCAGACATCCTGCAACGTAATGCGACAGTATGCTCAGAAAACAGATGATTGCAATAGCCTCCATATATTTGTCGAAACCAGATATTTCGGAGAATCAGGGTTTCATTTAGAGCCAGAATTCTTTTCCCGTTAAGATGAAGGAGAGGGCGAAAAGACAAACTGATGCTTTAGCAGAACATTGCCATCCAATGAAGTGCTTACACTTCAGCTAGTCCAACCTCAAAGGTTAATTGAATGCCACGTTCATACAAACACTTTGTGTGTCAAAAGGAGACAATGTGCAGTTAGTTTGTGTTATGACCTATGTTTTCTGGTGGATCGACATGCAATACTACAATGATTGGCTCAACTAATAAAAGGTGTTGAAATTTACGATTGACTGTTAATCACTCGCCAACCGGAACAAGTGAAAAAGTAAGTGCCTAAAATGCTAAATTTTTAAAAAAGGCAACAAATTCCGAAAACGTCGGACGTGGCTGTAGTTGCGTAAACTTAAACTACGGATGCCCAGGATGCAGGTAAATGTAAAACACTGAGTGAATATGACTGCAAACAAGATAAAAATTGAAAACCCTATTTAAATGAGGTTTATTTTTAAATTTTCTTTAGTAACCGATGACGTGTAAGGCAAGATTTTGGCCAGCAACCTATGCTCCGTGTTGCCGAGTTTTCTTTAAAATGTTTGCATTGGCAATTAGGCAGTTAGAACTTTGTCTGAGTTTGCTGAAATGTAAGTCAATTAACGACAGCCCGTGTCAAAATCGGCATTTTATTTACGGAATTCGGGTTTGAGGATTAAAATCTGTGCAATGCTGATTTGTATGACATCTTACCGGCCAAAAAAATAAATGTGACCTTGGATGTTGACTATCATAACCTATGGTTCATCGAAAGCCACGTTTTACAAACACTTTGTGTGTCAAAATGAGCCCTGCATAGATACTAGTGTTAGGGCATACGGTTTATTGTGGATCAGCGATCGGTACTTCAGTGGGTAACCCAACTTACGACTGATTACTAATCATTCGCCAACCGGAACGAGTACAAGTGTTAATGTCTGGAAATACCAATTTTTTAATAAGGCGGAGAATTCCGAGGACGGCGAAGTCGATGTAATTGCGTAGAAGTCAGTTTTGGCTGTAGGGAATGCATTGTCTGCAATTTCTAAATTGGAGTATCTGCCGAAAAGCACACGTGGAATGCTGGGGGACCCAGTCACAAGCCGAACCCCTCGAATCTGCGCCATGCAGCGGCAAAACATCGGCGAAACACGCGTGTATGAACTTTTGGCTGTGCTGTTAGTATGATATCACCTTACCTTAATGTCTAGAAATTTGATGCGGTGAATGACGCCTGACGTGTCTGCAGGTAGTAGCCGGCCCTTGGTTTGCATGAGTAAGCGGCGGATGCTGGCCTCCGGTCGGTGTCCAACGCCTACACTTAGTGGCCTTAGCATGCGCTCAATGGCTTCGGAGGCTTTTCTCACCTAAGGCAGAACGCGGAAGATTTCAGATCTTTGCGTGTTCTCACGATCGCCTTTCGTTTGTCTTTTGTATAAGCATTTGTTTAACAAAACTGAGCGAATATCCATTGGCAAGGAAAAGGTGCCATAGGGTTTCGCGCTCCCGAAACCTCTCGGCCTTTGTGCTGCAGTGTGTGTTGATGCGACAAAAAAAGCGTCCAGACGCAGCTGCGTTTTGGAGTTGAAGCATAAAATTTATGTATTGCTAATGTTTTGGCATCTTTTCGACGAAAATATCAAACATGAGCTTAGTTGATGTCCAACATAACCTTTAGCAGATGTTTCATCTTCTTATCTATCTGTACAACCGGGAAATCGTGGGGAGGCTTCTTAGTGTTTACTCGGGTAGACATCGCTTGTCAAAAAGTATTTAAAAAAATAATTTTAATTCATTTAACAAGAGCTCATGATTAATACATAGCACAAATTAGAAACAAAGGCGCTTCTTCAAACTCTGTTCTTAAGCATATAAATTATCTTAACGGCTAATCAAGAAAAAGGTTTTGACTGCAAATTTCTGCAAACAAAGGGCCTCACACTTAACACAAGCTACCCCAAAAATCTTCGGACATGCTATGGTTACTTAAGGACTTTTTGCATTTCCGCAGACAATTAGAATTTATTATTTTTAATGCTTGTCGTATTCATCACGCAGGACGCTGAAGTGAGGCTCGCACTCAAACCGCTATTCTTACAGCATCATCATACGTTAAGATGACGCTGTATTTCAATCGGTGTTGAGGTTTTGGGTTGCGGTTGTAAAACATATTCCTTTTCACTCGGAGCGTGTGTTTTATAATTCAACTGGTAGCTCAATGCGACCCGTTTCCCAGCACATTTAAGTGTTTTTAGACACTCAGTTTAAACTAGGATTTTATTTAATATTTCGTATTTTCAGCCGTTGGACTGTCGGACCTATTCTTCATGATCAGCTGCCTGAGCTCTTCTGTGCATGCCCATTGGTTTCACATGCTCTATTCCATCGACCTTGATAAGACAAATTAAACAGCCGATACAAGCGAAAATGCGAGTTCCAGGAACTAGTTGATCAGAAGAAGAAGCGATCGCTGGAGCAATGGCTTTATTCGCCTGACGTTTCGGATTCTCTCTTGAATCCATCATCAGAGACAGTTGCAGAAAAGGGTGGCTAATGTACAGGCAGTCGCAGTATTTATAGGATGCGGTCGCCATGCTACCGCATACCTACAGCAATTAACCGTGCTCCTTTCATCAAGGCTTGTTGCCCGCAGGTGCGCTAATTGCTTGATGGTCGGCATGCAAGTTGTTAATTGCTGACATCTCATCACCCGTGTTGGATGCTGGCGTGATGATTGCTCGGCCATCTGGCTCACGTGCTTGCGCGCTCCTCGAGTGGTCAATTGCTTTGGCCAATCTATGCCTCAGGACTGAATATGGAGTGGGGGTGTCATTGCACTTGTTGATAGACTGAGGTCCCGTGAACCATGACTCAAGCAACTCGCGGCTCACGCGATTATCCCCTCTCGTGAGAATTTCGGCCTCATCGAACTTGAATGTGTGACCGGGTCTCGTCGAATGGGCCGCGACCTGAGAGTTGGCGTCATTTCTCAGTACAGCTGCCACGTGTTCGGCAATTCGCGTCCGGAGCAGTCTTCCAGTTTCTCCGACGTAGTTGCTTTGTCCGCAACTGCACCAGATCCGGTAAACGACTCCAGATGTTTCTTGCCGTGGCAGTGGATCTTTTGGTCTCATCACTTGACGCCTCATGGTGGCCTTCGGTCTGTGCGCAACTCCAACCCAAAGTGGTGCAAGAAGGCGGCTAACGGCCTCGGAGACGTTCTTGATGTACGGGATCGCTCGCCAGAATTTGGGGTCGGCGCGATTTTGTCGCTCGTCTCGTTTGCGCAAGCACTGGTTGACGAAATTGCGCGGGTAACCGTTTTCTCGGAAAACCCGTCGAAGTTATTGGGATTCAGCAACCTTGCCTTCCGGTTCACTGCAATGCCTTTCAACACGCCGAAATAGCGTTCTTACGCACCTGCGTTTGTGGCAGATTGGGTGGTTACTGTTGAAGTTCAAAATTTGCGTCGTGTCCGTTCCTTTTCTGAACACTTTGGTCTTTAGGCCACCACAATCTTTGCGACAGACGAGGACATCAAGGAATGCCAGCTGGTTATTCTCTTCCTCCTCCATCGTGAATTGCATGTCCGGGAAGACGCTGTTGAGACGTTCTTGGAATGTCAACACCTGATCCCGTTCGATGACGACGAAGGTATCGTCCACATACCGAGCCCAGAATTTCGGTCTGTGGTGTTGGAAGACCAGCGACTCCAACCGCTGTAGCACCGCCTCGGCGATGAATCCCGAAATCGGCGAGCCCATCGGTGTTTCCTTCACATGCTCGTAGATTGTTCCGTCAAATGCGAAGTACGTCCTGAGACAGAAATTTAGGAGCTGAAGGACTTGGGCATGTCCGAGACGATTCTCCGTTTCATCGTATTTGTTTCGTAAGAGTAGCTGGACGGTCTCGATTACCAGATCCTGGGGGATAGAAGTAAAGACGGACGTGACATCAAAAGATACCATGACCTCATTGAGCAAGAGACTTACTCCTTTAAGCTTCTCCAGGAATCGCGTTGACGAACAGACCGTGGTGTCCGAATCAGCGGTCAGAAATTTGAGGCGCCGAAACAGCCATCTTGCCAGTCCGTACGTTGGAGTGCATTTGAGCGAAACAATGGGCCGGAGAGGAGCGCCCTCCTCGGAGAAGACTGCTCCGGACGCGAATTGCCGAACACGTGGCAGCTGTACTGAGAAATGACGCCAACTCTCAGGTCGCGGCCCATTCGACGAGACCCGGTCACACATTCAAGTTCGATGAGGCCGAAATTCTCACGAGAGGGGATAATCGCGTGAGCCGCGAGTTGCTTGAGTCATGGTTCACGGGACCTCAGTCTATCAACAAGTGCAATGACACCCCCACTCCATATTCAGTCCTGAGGCATAGATTGGCCAAAGCAATTGACCACTCGAGGAGCGCGCAAGCACGTGAGCCAGATGGCCGAGCAATCATCACGCCAGCATCCAACACGGGTGATGAGATGTCAGCAATTAACAACTTGCATGCCGACCATCAAGCAATTAGCGCACCTGCGGGCAACAAGCCTTGATGAAAGGAGCACGGTTAATTGCTGTAGGTATGCGGTAGCATGGCGACCGCATCCTATAAATACTGCGACTGCCTGTACATTAGCCACCCTTTTCTGCAACTGTCTCTGATGATGGATTCAAGAGAGAATCCGAAACGTCAGGCGAATAAAGCCATTGCTCCAGCGATCGCTTCTTCTTCTGATCAATTGAAACAGCTTACAGTACTTTGTGCTAAAGGAAGCGACACATCAATACGCACAATAATATTTTTTGAAAATGACGCCGTTAAAGGCATCAGACGACTAATAATACTAACAAGACTGTCCATTTATGAGCACCCTGGCATTATCACTGAGTGTTAGCTGATAATGTAAGCAGTAATCTTACTTGGTCGTCGATGTCAATCTTGCAGAAGTTGGTCAGCGGCTGTCGAAATCCTTTGATTGTTGGAAACGTTGGAGTTAATGAAAGCGAGGGCGACTTAGAAATCACTTATTAAAATAAAAAAATTTGTAGCCCAACTAGCCAACACTTTCTCATAACTAATGGACTCCGATTACCTTCACTCCAATTGCAGCATGATTTGGCATCCGTGGTCGATAAACGGTTTAACAACCCAGGAACTCGAGCTTTCCCTCAAAGTCCTATTATCGACTCGTGCGAAGCTTCGGGATATGCCAAGCTACCTCATAAATTTGCGTGGTGGCAATTCTGTCAAGCCATTTTCTCTATTACTCGTGGGTGGGAACGAGGCATCTGTTCCGGAGCGTGCGAGTTGCGCCACGCTGCTTGCTACACAACGCGGCATGCCTGTGTCAGCCTGAGAAGGTGATTGGCTGAGTCACCTGCGTGTTAGACGTGTGATTAGTTCGGCCGGGAGTCGCAAAGCATGGAGAGGGACAGGCCACGCCGGTCGATGCACGTGAAATGGACGCTGTCAATGGGCGCTGCCATGACTCGCCGAAGTCAGGCCCTGGGCGCCTCAAATGGTGACGGCGCTTCAGTGGCAGGCTAGCTCGGTTGTCACTGGAGTGGCGCCTACAGTTCTATCAATCTTTAAATGCCTGCCAAGGAATAGGCGTGGGTTATGGTTGTATTGTGCGCCTGTCCCGATCTGCTTCACGTGCTGACATACTAACGGGAAGCAAATAGGCCAGTGTGCATTAATTCGTGCATGAATAAATGCCTGACGTGCAGAAACACGGGACATCAGACGGATAGCATTGATTCACTTTTCTTCGACGAAGACCATGTGATACATCTGACACACCTATTTGTCTTCTCTGTGTTTGTTTCCATGTTCATGCTTCTACTCACATTTGTTGGTCTACCGCATATATGTTTAATCTCCTCCTTGTCGCCCTGGTCGTATTAAAACCGCACCCAACGCGCAAACTATTATCTCACTGTGTTACTGATTGGCGCTAACCCGCCTCCCTGTGATAAAGCGCTGGCGGGATCACATGACCTCGGTCCCCTTCGAGGAGATCGCAGATGCCGTGGCGAATCAGAGTACCCGTTAGTGCTATACCCATCGCCGCCGGGCGCTCTGCTCGAACTTTACCGCTTTGGCAGGAATTTGTTCTATGCCAGGCTGCAGGCACAGTAGCTGACTCCTTCCAGCTAGACTTCTCTTCAGTTTCCATCTCTCACTTAATGCAATTATCCATTTGCAAATAAGAATATGGAGAACTTTTCGTTTTTCATCCGAAACTGCGGAAAAAATTATAACTCCACTCCCATATCCATGCTCAGTCTTCAACCAAAAGTTGAAAAAGAATAAAACTGTTCTTTTGCTACAGGGGTTTAAAATAAAATGCAGTTTTGGATAGTTGGAACAGGTGTTATTTATTTCGAAATTAGTTGGTGAACGCAAATGTGCCATTTCCATAAACAATTCGCAACGTAGACCAACACCCATTAGGATATCGACTACGCAAAATAGCCTAAAGAGTTGAAAGGACATTGATTTCGGCTTCAGTAAATCTGTTCCTATTTTCCTCATTAGCATCACAATCCGGATTATAGACTTTCGACTTGTAGGACAGAGACTGTTGGTGTGCGTATGACAGTTTCTGCATATGTCCTTGTCGTTCATGGATTAAGGTAAAGTTGGCCTAATAACGCCCTGAAGGCCTGGCGTCATTCCTCTTAAACCAACTGCTGGAGTGGAAATGCTTCTTTGCTAGAACTTGGGATGTCCTTACGGAGGCGTAAATGTGGAGCACACGGTGGTATATGACGGAGGTTGCATCTTGTTGCGTGCCGGTTGCCCTGAGACAGTGGTTTTCATGACTCAGAAAGTATGCCATCAGACGACCGGGAAATTCGCTGACGCAGTCGGGCAGCAGAACGGGATGGTTATAGCGAAGTAGATTTGCGAGAAGCCATACGAACGTGTCGACAATAGGTTCACGGTAGAGGTGACTGCACGTTAAGCGATCTGGGCAAAAAAGTACAATGAACATTACAGGACATGTGTGCAAAGATCGGTTTTCAGATGAGCTTCATCAGTTACTTCACTATGACTCATGGTAATTGGCTGATAAACTAAATCCAGGGATGCGTCACAGGCTTCTGGACCTTTATCTTTAGTAAAGTAGACCACAAATATCACGTTATCTTCAAATAGGATGCAGCACATTTCAGTTACTTTCACATTTTTATTTCGAAGTATAATTAGAAACCCATTTACACAGTGGCAAATATTTCGGGATCCATTCATACGTTGAATGAAGTCAGTTGTATTAATGATCGTGAGGACGATTGAATGTGATTATTTGCCGTCTTCCTCGATAAGGAGAAATATATTTGACATGAGGATTTATGTTTTCCAGTTTCCTTGGCGTACATTACCTGCTGAGAATCTTGGTTTTGGATGGAGTTAATGCGGCTATTAACCATTAACAATCGGTTTGTGTATCGGTACCTTACTCGCGGAAATACATGTGTTTTCCCTACTTACGCCATCGGACGTATTTAAAAGATGCACGCAATGGGTGATGCAAGTGCTACGTTTGTGCAAATATTTATTCCTTAAGGGTACATTGTCGCTTTGTTGTGACCGACTCAGTTTGCTATGGTTACTCAGATCAAAATGTCTATGACCCACACTTTATTCTCCGTTACAGAGGTATGCTTTCACAACACGGACGCAGTTAGGGCCATTGATAAGATACCTGTTGGCTGACCTGAACGAGCAGACGCATTTTGCAGCCAAACATATACGGTAGTTGTGCTGGCTTATGTAATGTTAACCGAAATTCTGAAATGCGTTTTCGTTTCGAAAATATTACTTAAGTGGGGTTATAAAATCGTCCATTATGCAGCATAATTATATAATAATTCAGGTATCGTGAGGTGCGGGCACTCGAGGGAACTTCTTCTTGGATGTATACACTCTGTAAACATTACTACATAAGTCGCAAGCATTTCTGTCGATGATTTTAAATGGCCTTAAGATTTAGCGGTTTTTATGGAAAACGGGCATTAAAATATTCATTCTTCTACTCATTGGGTAGAAAATTACGTCTTCTTAAAATTTTAAATTTTAAGAAAGGGCAAAATTTGGTTTTCTAAAACTTTTCAAGACCACGGTGTGAAGGGTCGCACTTTAATGTCGGTAGACTGTGGATGGTGTCAGTAATGACCATGTCGGTCTCCCTTGCCTTTGTCAGCATTTCGTTATGATATATATGCATATATACGGAATGTGTTTGCTTCTGAGGCCAGTGTCTGCCCTTTCCTGAGTGAGTAAATACCCGATCTGCAGCGACAGAATGGCAGGCAGCGAGGCACTGATAAACTTCGGTTCGATGCAGTGCTAATGACCATCTGGTAGACCCCAGCTGTGGACTACCTGGGCCAGGTGTGTGAGCGCATGTTCGTATTTCGAGTCCCCACTGGTAGTTAGGCTTATGATTGGCTGAATGAGGTAGAGATGAGAAACATGGACGGTAATGGCCATCTACATGTATATCTTGTAATGTCTTTGACATGCAGATTTACGCATTCCAACCTGAAATTTTACGTCGACTGGCGCTTCACCGAATCTATAATTACTTGAAGATGTAGAGATGTTGCTTCTTTATCTTCTGGTTTGACATGAATGGAGTTTGCATTTCGGTAGGGAAACTGCTGATTACCATTCCTAAACTGATGAAGTACACTTCCTTAATGCGGCCCTGTCATTCCTATTCTATGTTCTAGGATTTTCGCGTCTATTGTTTGAAGCATGGAATGCCACATAAGATTCTGGTATTTCTTTACTGTTACATATTTCCGCCCGAGGAAGATTAGATAAACACAACGAACTATGCGATGGCCATTTCTGGTTTATTCGCCTTCATCAGAAAATGCCATCCCGTTCTGCTGCCCGACTGCATCAGCACATTTTCCGCTCGTCTGATGGCATACTTTCTGAGTCATAAAATCCACTGTCTCATAGCAACCGGCATGCAACAAGATGCAACATCCGTCATATACCACTGTGTGCTCCTCATTTGCGCCTCCGTAAGGACATCCCACGTTCTGGCAAAGCCGCATTCCCACTCTAGCCGTTGGTTTATGAGGAATGACGCTAGACTCCCTGGACGTTGTCAGGCCAAACGGATTCGTGCCAACTTAACCTTAATCCATGAACGACAAGGACGTATGGAGAAACTGTCATTCACACACCAACAGTCTCTGTCCTACAAGTCGAAAGTCTATGATCCGGA